AGTCAGTATGCGCTGCTGTAATCATAGCAGGTACCACCACAGTCAGTATGCACTGCTGTAATCATAGCAGGTACCACCACAGTCGGTATGCACTGCTGTAATCATAGCAGGTACCACCACAATATGCACTGCTGTAATTATAGCAGGTACCACCACAGCAGCATAAACTGCGGTAATCATAGCAGGTACCACCAGTCAGTATGCACTGCTGTAATCATAGCAGGTACCACCACAGCAGTTGCACTGCTGTAATAGAAGGTACCACCACAATATGCACTGCTGTAATCATAGCAGGTTCCTCCACAGTATGCACTGCTGTAATCATAGCAGGTACCACCACTGTCAGTATGCACTGCTGTAGTGATAGCAGGTACCACCTCAGTCGGTATGCACTGCTGTAGTGATAGTAGATACTGCTATCGAGTTGGTAGATACTACTATATATAGTTAGAAGATACTAAAACAGTCAGTATATACCACTCCAGTCAGTCAATACTGCTACAGTCAGTATATACTACTATACAGTCAGTACATACTACTACGGTGAGTAGCTACTAGAGTCAGTAGATACTACTATATAGTGAGTAGATACTGCTATAGAGTTAGTAGTTACTACTATAGTCAGTGGATACTACTATAGTCAGCAGATACTACTTTACAGTTAGTCGTTACTACTATAGAGTTGGTAGATACTACTGTAGGTCCAGTAAATACTACTATGGTCAGTAGTTACTGCTACGATCAGTAAATACTACTACATAGTCAGTAGCTACTACTGGCTCAGTAAATACTACTGTACAGTCAGTAGACACAACTGCAGAGTCAATAGATACTACTTACTCTGTTGTATGTATGGTGTGTAGGTATAGATACCTACGCGGGGGTAAATATATATTTTTGAGGGGGGGGGGGTGTCCACAATTTTCGGAAACCTTTAAGATCAACTAATTACCCCACACATTCTGTTACTTTTTGAACTTTTGCAAGCCTCTTATAATTTTGTTGGTGGTGAAATGGACAAATGGCCCACCGGGCTTTCACAATATCTTAGTATCTGTGTATGTATATGTAAGGTTTTTAAGAGTAGTTCGAAAATATTTTTTTGACCCGGGCAACGGCGGGTACTTACCGCTAGTAATTAATATAGGTGTAGTGGAGTAACGCGCGCGGGGGTTTGTAAGTGGTGTGCACGCACGTGCGAGTTGCGGGCAGTGGGGTCACATCAAAGCGAACAGGTGCGTCGAGAGAGAGCAACGGAAAGGAGACGCCCAATTAAGATGCATAGCGGTGATTGGCTGGCTGCAAATGCAGGCGGCTAATTAAGATGCATGGTGGTGATTGGCTGGCTGCAACTGCAGGCGCGGAACAGGCGCCAAGTTGGCGGGAGATTGAGGTGCTAGCGGCGGGAGATTGAGGTGCTAGCGGCGGAAGCCACGGGGCGTGAGGCACGGGAGGTCGCCAGCTTAATTAATGAGGAGGTAATGAGGAGGGGGATATATAAGGAAGCGTGAGAGAGAGATGGAGTTGAGTTGGTCGGAGTGAAGACAAGAGGAGAGATGAGAGAAGTCCCAGGCCCTGCTCGCCACACCTGGCCCTCTCCAGCGGTGATGGCTGAACCCCCACTGGAGGCAAGGGCGAGGTTGGAGAGGCGAGGGTAGAACAGGCTAGCAGTAGAGAAGCTGGCGGTAGAGAAGCTGGCGGTAGAGACGCCGGCGGGATCCTAAGTGTGAGTGTGCGAAGCTATCGGTGAAGAAGCGAGCAGAAGAGATAGGGAGAGGCTAGCAGTAGAGAGGCTAGGAGAGTTAGAACAGACTAGCAGTGGAGAGGCTAGGAGTGAGAGATCAGGCTAGCAGTGGAGAGGCTAGGAGAGTGAGAACAGGCTAGCAGTAGAGAGGCTAGGAGAGAGAGCAGGCTAGCAGTAGAGAGGCTAGGAGAGTGAGAACAGGCTAGCAGTAGAGAGGCTAGGAGAGAGAGCAGGCTAGCAGTAGAGAGGCTAGGGGAGTGAGAACAGGCTAGCAGTGGAGAGGCTAGGAGAGTGAGAACAGGCTAGCAGTAGAGAAGCTAGGAGAGTGAGAACAGGCTAGCCGTGGCGAGAACAGGCTAGCAGTAGAGAGGCTAGGAGAGAGAACAGGCTAGCGGTAGAGAGGCTAGGAGAGTGAGCAGGCTAGCAGTAGAGAGGCTAGGAGAGTGAGAGAACAGGCTAGCAGTAGAGAGACTAGGAGAGTGAGAGAGAGCAGGCTAGCAGTAGAGAGGCTAGGAGAGTGAGAGCAGGCTAGCAGTAGAGAGGCTAGGAGAGAGAGCAGGCTAGCAGTAGAGAGGCTAGGAGAGTGAGAACAGGCTAGCAGTAGAGAGGCTAGGAGAGTGAGAACAGGCTAGCAGTAGAGAGGCTAGGAGAGTGAGAGCAGGCTAGCAGTAGAGAGGCTAGGAGAGTGAGAGCAGGCTAGCAGTAGAGAGGCTAGGAGAGTGAGAGCAGGCTAGCAGTAGAGAGGCTAGGAGAGTGAGAACAGGCTAGCAGTAGAGAGGCTAGGAGAGTGAGAACAGGCTAGCAGTGGAGAGGCTAGGAGAGTGAGAACAGGCTAGCAGTGGAGAGGCTAGGAGAGTGAGAACAGGCTAGCAGTAGAGAGGCTAGGAGAGTGAGAACAGGCTAGCAGTGGAGAGGCTAGGAGAGTGAGAACAAGCTAGCAGTAGAGAGACTAGGAGAGTGAGAACAGGCTAGCAGTGGAGAGGCTAGGAGAGTGAGAACAGGCTAGCAGTAGAGAGGCTAGGAGAGTGAGAGTAGGCTAGCAGTGGAGAGGCTAGGAGAGTGAGTAGGCTAGCAGTAGAGAGGCTAGGAGAGTGAGAGTAGGCTAGCAGTAGAGAGGCTAGGAGAGTGAGAGTAGGCTAGCAGTAGAGAGGCTAGGAAAGTGAGAACAGGCTAGCAGTGGAGAGGCTAGGAGAGTGAGAGAGAGCAGGCTAGCAGTAGAGAGGCTAGGAGAGTGAGCAGGCTAGCAGTAGAGAGGCTAGGAGAGAGAACAGGCTAGCAGTGGAGAGGCTAGGAGAGTGAGAACAGGCTAGCAGTAGAGAGGCTAGGAGAGTGAGAACAGGTTAGCAGTAGAGAGGCTAGGAGAGTGAGAACAGGCTAGCAGTGGAGAGGCTATGAGAGTGAGAGTAGGCTAGAAGTAGAGAGGCTAGGAGAGTGAGAGCAGGCTAGCAGTGGAGAGGCTAGGAGAGTGAGAGTAGGCTAGCAGTGGAGAGGCTAGGAGAGTGAGAACAGGCTAGCAGTAGAGGCTAGGAGAGTGAGAACAGGCTAGCAGTAGAGAGGCTAGGAGAGAGAACAGGCTAACAGTGGAGAGGCTAGGAGAGTGAGAGTAGGCTAGCAGTAGAGAGGCTAGGAGAGTGAGAGTAGGCTAGCAGTAAAGAGGCTAGGAGAGTGAGAACAGGCTAGCAGTGGAGAGGCTAGGAGAGTGAGAACAGGCTAGCAGTAGAGAGGCTAGGAGAGTGAGAACAGGCTAGCAGTGGAGAGGCTAGTAGAGTGGAGTGATCAGCGCAAGTGGGAACATCACGACGGAGTCACGTGGTGGTGGTGTCGAACGCGAGGAGTTCTGTTCAATAAACAGTGACAGGACAAAACCAAGTTGTCCGCGTGAAATGAAAACACGACACGGGTACACAGCACTGCAATAAAATTAGGTAAAAAATGACTGTCATCATTTTAGATACCGTAACTTTGAATGCACATTTATTTCACTTTAAGTCTGTCTGTCTGTCTCTGCCGAAATAGAGCCACTTCTTCGCGAAGCATGTTGAGCCCGGTCTCGAGACTCTTGGTTTTCCAGGAGGGTCCTGCCAAGCTTTGACCGGAGGTGTTTCGACAAACGCCAAGTGTCTCCTGAGCCATTCACTTGCAGGTTAAAACGAAACAAACAAACAAAAACAATTGGAATTCCGCGAAGTTCGAACCTCGGCGCCGATACACACGTGGCCACATCCGTACGCTCTCCGTCGAGAGAGGCGTCACCGAGATCTCCAACGTGAACCGCAAAACCGCTAGGCAATGATGGCCTCAATCAGCCCGCAACAGACCGAGATCAACTTGCTGTTGGCAAGCACCGACTGGTGCCAGGAACAGCGCACTAATAAAACAAAAAGGCCCGCGCGACACAAAGATCAAAGGCAAAGATCCCCCGCGTAGCCTTAACAGACTGTTGGGGCAAGTGCTGTTAGCGAGCGCCTACGAAGGCCGACACGGTTTTCACGCAGAGGTGGGATGGCCAGTACAACATTGGCGATGCTTACTGCACATCGCACCAGGTATCTCATTTGAGGCTGAGTCGACCTAGTGGAGGCCCAGGACCGGTTCAGATAATCGTCACTGGGTGTTGGCCGACCTCGGGTGGCCAGGTTCGTAGCACGGCGCGCTAACCGCTGCACCACCGCTCCCAACCACACAACGCGCGCACACAGCCACCTTTGTTACCCAATTGCTGATGTTGCCACGCTGTTTTGGGCTGTTATTTTAGGCTGAGCAAACCTCGAGGAGGACCAAGTCAAGTTCATACGTCACTGCCACCGGTTCATTTCCATAGCCAGGCATCAAACCTAGGACACTGGCTATGTTTGTAGCGAGCGACTTATTTCGCACCGTACGTAGCCAACCGTGCTATCGTAGCATCGTTTACCAAGCGCTCCCCATTTAGCGCGTTTCACAGTATAAACAGACGGCAATTCAGATGCTTGAACCCAGCAATCACTCACCATATTAGTTAAACTGCTCTTCACCACGTCACAAAGTGTTGCGGCACTACACAGCAATACATCAGTTTGCTAAATTTATAGAAAACGGCGTAATGGCGAACGTTTCCAATACACAATGAGTGCTACATACATGAATTGTAACAACTCCAGCACGTCAGTTAACGATTCGCACGCGTGTACTGACACTCATCACGATAGTCACACGCGTGCGTGTTACGCAATGAAAACATTATTACCATCCCAAGTGAATCGCGTGCCATACTCGCCTGCTTTGGCTCGGACTTCTCGAGAAGACTTGTCACGTGAAGGTGCCCGGGACTCAGCCCTCCCCGAGCCGACTTACACGTTTCGCCACGCTCCAACGCGCTGTATAAGACGATAACAAAGTCAAGTCAAAGCCCTGCAGGCGTGGCGGTTGGGGTTCAGGCGACAGCAGCAGCAGCAGCCCACTGTTTGCGCTGCTCCACCGGGCCCCCCCCCCCCCGTTTGTTTGCTCAGGCCGGGCCACAGGGGTCCCCCCAGAAGACTCACATGGCAACGGGAACGTCACTCGGACGCCTCGGTAGCAGCAGCGGCAGCAGCCGTGCCATGAAAAAAAAGCCAGCAGCGCACGCGTGTTTGTGTTTCTGTTTGGCAATTTTTTGAAAGAAGGGAGATTTTAATAATAATAATAATAAAAATATATCCCGTCGATAGTTAATTTTGCACGTGGCCAGATGTGTACTTTTGTTGTTTCCTTGTTCGTTCGTGTGTGCGTCGCGTGCTTAATGTTTCGTTTGTCGAGTGAATTACTTCTATCGCAATTATATTTAAGGGGTTATAGGTTGCAGCCCTTACAAGCCCCCCCCCTCCTCCCCCAATAAGAGGGAGCTGATGCGGGCACTTCTAAGAAAGGGTATTTTTGGCCTACTCTTCTACGCTGTACCAGACGTCTTGGAAGATGTGGGTGAACCCATCCCGCCAGTCGTGACCTATCGATTTTGTAGAGTACCCATTTATCGGTAGTACAAATGAACCTTATGGCAGGTCCCCAGGGTCCCGAATAAACGGAAGTCAAAGTCGCGATTAATTTATTTATTTTTGGTGACTCCGTCCCACCGCGCACAAACGCCGCGACCCACCTGGCGCGGATCATGTTGTTGTCATGTCATGTCCAAGCCCAGCAGCAGCGAGGACGAATGCGAAACAAAACTTTGATTAGCGCATCGCGTAGTGCTCGCCGAGGGGAATAGATTACCCTATCGTTCGCCTTCAACAGACATAAAATGACGTCGCAACGCAGTTTTGCGGGCGCCGGGGGGCTTATGGGACCCCGGGGTCCCGCCATAAGGTTATAAATGTGCCAATGTCATTATAAATGTACCCATAATAGAGGTTGTTGGGTTAGATCGCGTAAATATAAATGTGTCGTTTAACCCGGGTCACCAACCGACACACCGGTGGGTGAGTATGGTGTGTTGGAGAGAAAACCCACAACTCGAATTGTAAATGTTGTGGGTTTACTCTCCAACAGACCATACACAAACCATACTCACACAACACACCGGTGTGCCGAACTAATCACGAATTGGCACGTTTTGTTTATGCGGCAAACCTTACTAATTGACCGTGTAGGGTCATGGCGGGTTTAACGACACATTTATATTTACGCAATCTAACCCAAAACTCATCTGGTATGGATAATATTGGTCGCGATAGCCTACTGCTAAGCGTTAAACTAAATGTACCCGTGTCTGTATGAATGCACCAATGTCAATGTGCCCACTTATACTGCCGGCACGATTCGAACTTTGGTGACCTCTGAACTGCGAGTCCTGTCGTGCCAACAATTACAACACGAAAGGGTCTCCACGACACGGCTTAATTGCCCTCGGTTTATGCGGCAGAGCCCCCCCCCCCCCCCCCCCCCCCCCCGGCGCGTTTGGAGGCTGCTATCAAGAAGGGTTATGCAGGGCGGTGCTTTTTGCTGCCGGTGCTCAAGCACGCGATTCTGAAGGTCGCGCATCAAAGCCAATTATCCACAATGGTCAATAAAATGTGGGTGCCACTTTGTGGGAGTTCAACAATCAAATGGGCAGACGTTGAATTGTGTTACATCCACCCGATGCCGCTTGTTTGAACGGGAAGAAACGTTGACTTTTAAAACAACATTTTATTTTTAAATGTAGTATACCGCAGACGAAATGCTTTTTTAAGTAACACAAAAAAACACTGAAACTGGCTCAGTCACGAGTGTGCGTTGACCAGTAAGCTATCCAACGATGCTAACATGAATACTCTTTTCTTTCAGGTTAATACGTTTTTGTGCAGACTAAATGTCAAGCTCCCTTGGATGTTTTTCTATACCCCCCCCACCCCAATTTTAAGAGAGAGCGCTTGATATAATAATGCTACATTAGCACTGCGGACATATAGCTTCTCATTTATTATTGAGGCTGTAGATGCGCTAGAATAGATACAGGACAAGCGCACTCGTAAAGCTGTCTTTAGGACAGCCGTAAAACACTTTAAATGCGCACGAAATGTTTGATGGGCCCAGGCTGCAAACAAGCGTTGATGAGGCAGAGTCACCACAGGGCGTTGTACGGCGGGATGATATAATGGTCGTGGCACATATTAAGCAAGTCTTTTTTTTCCCTTCAAGGCCGCAACACTGGAGCCCCATTAATACTTGTCCACGTGTGGGTCGTTCATTAGTTTGCACCTGCTTAATTGACAATGGGTGATATTACCCAAAACGACGATGCTTGTGCTTAGACTGTGCACAGTGCTGCATATAGTTCAGTGTCTCGGCAGCGTGCTTACATTGACATCAAAGTGAGGATATTTTTCAAAGTAATTTTTCGAGTCGATTTTGAGCCAGAATCATGAATATCCAATAATGAATAATTTGGGGCTTACGTTATACATCCCGGCAGATGGTGCCGTTGCTGAAGCGCACGGCTTGCAACAAACACCCAGCAGGGGGTTTGAATCGGTACCTTTGTAGTGTAATAGCGCCGGCTGGTGGACAGCAGCGGCAACTGTGGTGGACAGACAGCACACACGCCGATGAGGGTGTGCACAGGGTGTTGGCAGGGAGGAAGAACTGGGGTAAGGGTCACGGAGGACCCCTATGGAGGCCCCTGAAAACTGCTAGCGGGTTCGAGAATGGAGGCGTGGTCAGGGCGGAGCCAGGGCGCGCTGGGAGCATGAAAGGAGCCAAGAGCGGGGAGCTCGAGGCTGCCGGTTCTGGGAGTGAACTCGTCTCGTCGCCGTCGTCGCTAAACGTCTCCGCTAGATATTGCGCTACAAAGGAGAGCAGTTGGCTATCTCAGTCAGCGCCGTCAGTGTTAGATGGCGAGCGTTGTGTACAGGCTAGGCTGAGCTACTGTGGAGAGTGTGTGGATGAGACCGTGAAAGTTGCTAATAAAGAAGGTGCCTCCTTGAAACTCTGTCTCTGAATCGTTAACACTACACCTTCATAGTTCCAGAGTTGTTTAAAAGGAGTTACAGTTCCACTTCGTGGGAAGTCAAAGTATGCCAGTGGCTCAGATCACCAATGGCATACAAGTTCCAAGGTTGCACTCCGTGTTTTGCTAAGGGCCCCTCCCAAAAAAACTAAAATCACTCGTATAGCCTTAACAGACAGTTGGGGCAAGTGTTGACAGCGAGCAGCACCTATGAAGACCGGCACAGCACACGAGGGGGTAGATGGCCAGCACCACGCCCGACCGCCTGTTTCCCTAGTGGCGATGTTTACACACCGCACTAGGTACTCATTTGAGGCTGAGTCGACCTAAGGGAGGCCCAGGGCCGTTCAGATAATTAATCGTCACCGGTGTTGGCCGTGAGTGGGAATCGAACTCGGTCACCGGGTTCGTAGCGCGCTACCGCTCCCCGCACACACAGCTACACACACACACACGACACACGTGTGTGTGTGTGTAGCTGTATTGTGACGCATATCAAGACAATTTGATGATCTTCTGGCCATTGGCAGGGATTTCTCCATGATGTCACGACACTGGCAGATTCCCATAGCCCCGCCCGTGAATGCTGATCGGGTAGCGGCCTCGGAGTGGACTTGCACTCCGACCATTCCATAGGCTGGAATAGCAGTCCAAACCGCATGTGATATCAAAATAACGTGGCAGATTTTTTTTTGTACGGTGATTATATTTCCTCTACGGGAATATCTGTTTATTATGAGATTAGATTCAACATTAGGCACGGTTTCTTCACACTATGTAAACAGCTGTTTGCAGGAAGGCAATCATCCAATATTTAAGTGGTGCCCTTAGAAAGAGTCTCGCCCTCATTAAATACTTTTTTTTGACAGTATATGATGCATTTGTTGTGCATACATTAGTGGCAGCTGAGACTATTAACTCAGTGCTCTTAAGAACACGGTTTCATCTTCAACGACCACCTGTGATTTGAACTCGGGATCTCAGCGGAGCTGTGCCGAATTGGGCATTAGCCCCAATGAACCATCCATCCGTCCATTTAAGGAAGTATTTCAAGCTCAAGTCAAATGGAAACTCAATTCACAGTCTTGCAAGGAGGGCCTTTCAAAACGATGGCAATTGGGCATCATAACTAATAATGAAATTACCGTCTCTCCTTAGCCATTAAATACAGTAAAAACATAATCAAAACGAGCTACGTCCAATTTTACTGCCAATTCCCATGCGATTTTCCAGATGGTGGGATCAATAAACATTTACCGAATGCACGCCTATTAAATAACCATTTTGCTATTGATTCATTGCACGAAAACATCTCCACACCCATACTAATACCAACATTCTCCAAACTACTGCGCAGGGATTGTTGACACCATTTGGGCATAATTACAGACCGTGTGTAATAATTTGAAAATGGGTTTTGATAACGGCAAAGCAACAACTTTTTTATTGTGCTATTTGGAAAACACGAAACATTATTATATTAGTGCACAGTCCGCCAATTGTCGTGTGTGTGTTTGCGAGATGCACCGCATGCAAGAGCAGGTCATTTAATTGCACGGTTAAAGGAGGCCAGATTTGCGAAGCAACCTGAGATTACCAAATTGCCTCACCTAACAAATGCTTGTCAGTAAGAAAATGCCATTGCGCACAGATCAGTGATGAATCCCTCCCGGGCCAAACCGCTGTGATTCAACACCTGCCATATGTGGCTGGCCAGTGCATGAGTCGGTGCGCTTTCCACGGGGGTGGCAGATTGCAAGGGTTTAGAGGTTTACACACCAACTTCCCCCCCCCCCCACCCCAGTAATGTCGCGGCACATTGTGTCCCGTAACGAGGGTGGTAAATGACAATTTGCACCGCCAGATGGTAAGCCAACAGCTGTCTTTCGGCTCGACCGTTCCTCATCATGCCAATTTTGGAAATGTTCACGATTATACCGCCAGTGGAGATGAGCAACCACTTGCCTGCCCAAGGGAACACATTTTTGCAAGGG